ATTCCCATGTTCACTGTGGCACTATTCACGATACATAAGGAATCAACTCAAGTGTTGATCAACAGGTAAATAAAGAAAAAATGTACGCAATGGAATTCTGTTTGGCCTTAAAAATAAAGAAGGAAATCCTGTCATTTGTGATAGATGAATGAACCTGGAGGATATTATGCTAAATGAAATATATTCAGACACAGAAAGAAAAATATAACATGATCTTAAAAAATAATGTAAAAAAGTGGAACTCATAGAAATAGAGTAAAATGGTGGTTACCAGAAGCTAAGGTGGAGGAATTAGGGAGACATTGGTTAATGAACAAAAAGCTTCAGTTAGTAAGGAGAAGTAAGTTTAAGAGATCTATCTATTGTACATTTTGTTGACTGTAGTAATAAAAATAGATGATATCTTTTTTTTTTTTTGGAGAGATTTTCACTGTAGGGCGCGTGCGCTCGCCAGACAGACAGAGAGAGACATAGAGACAGAAAGCGAGAAATCACCCCCCAGGGGGGATGGTCACGCCGCAATCCCTTCTCCTCCATTCTCCTCTCGGGATCTTGGGCACGCACGCACACGCGCCCGGCGTGAGTTTTAAGCCACCGGGTCCGGGACACGAACCGCGGTCGACTACATGGGAGTCCAGCAACATAGCCATTACGCTAACTGCTGGTTCCCAAAAATAGATGATATCTTTGAAAGCAACTAAGACAGTGGATTTTAAGTTTTCTTGCCACCAAAAAAAAAAAAAAAAAGCATGATAGGTAATACATATGTCAAACAGTTTGATTTAGCCATTCTGCAATGTATACATTTATCAAAACATCGTGTTGTATATTAAAAACATACAATTTTACTGGTCAATACCATAGCAAGTTTTATAAATTAAGACTAAGAAATTTTTAGAGAGGTCCTTACCTGCTTGAAATTTGTAATAGCTTTAATAACAGGGGAAGCTGTTATCAGGAGAATATCTTCTGATGGAAAGTGAAGAGCCAACTTTAGAAAACAAAAAAAATATGGTAATCACTTCTCATGTGCTTTCAGTGGGATAAAATTAAACCAAACCCTCAATATTATACACTTAGACTCTTAGCCTGACTTTCCACAAGTGCTTTCTATACTCCAATTTTTTCTTTTCTAACCAGTATATATTCTGGGAAGACAGAGCCATTTTAATATTAGCTTTAACAAAATGTAGAGATTTAAGTTACTATGGTCTCATTACTTTTCTCTAATTACAACTGCTCTCCTCATACTGAATTTCTTGAAAGCATTTTCTAGTCTTCGATTTCACCAACCTCTATAATCTGGCTTCTACAGCACTAAAACTGATCATGTTTGAGTCACTTACACACCCTTAAAACCATGGGGTTCTTCTTAGTCTCATCTTATTTTAATTTTCTGTAATATCATTACCCTCTCCATCTTTCTTACACTTGTACAATCTGTAATAAATGTTTTCATTACAAAATCACATCTTCAAAACTCGTGTACACTACAAATTGGTTGTCCAGTCTCCTGTTAATCAGCTTCCTTTATGCTAACCACACTGTAACTACTCATCTTTCAAGTTTTCAATTGATCATATTACTGCACTGCACAAAATCATTAACTGCAGCTATGGATTGACCTTTGATAAGGATATATTCTGAGAATGCATTGTTAGGCAATTACACTGTTGTACAAACATCACAAGGTACTTAAAGAAATTCAGATGGTTTAGCCCAGCACACCCCTAGACAATACTACAGTCTGTATACTCCTTATGAGAATACCATCATAAATGAGGTTCCTCGTTGACCAACACATCTTCATGTTGTACAGAACTGTCCTTGTAAATTGCTATATACTTGGCAAACTTTATGATAGGGTCTCTGCTAACTTCTCATGTCATCTCTGATCACCTCCCTCAAGCACCATATTCTTTAAACTTGGCTGCACTTGAATGGTGTTGTGCTGTGTTTTCTGTGAAGATTATACTCCTGTTCCACTTTTAAATGTTTTTGTTTTTATGTCTACTTGGTGAATTGCACACATTTTTCTTTACTGAGATGAAAGAATGCCTGCTTTCTGAAAAGATAACTCTCCCTTAATTCACTGCCGGCAACTCCAGAAGCACCCCTAAAATGACAGATAATGCACTGATGAAATGCTTTAACTAAGGTCTTTTCCACTAGACTGCGAGTCTCGGGTAAGGCATGCCATACTTTATTTATATTTGAGTACTGAATCCTAGTACAGTGCCTAGACCATAGATGTTTATTTGCTTAAATGGAAAATACTCATCCAAATGGGAAAAGTTTAGAAACGCTAATTTCTTGAAATCTTTTATGATTTCAGTGATTGATCTTTATATCAACATAATCTTGTCTTTTTTGGAATACACACACGTACCTGATTAAATATGGTCTGGCTACGCATTATAATCAGAAAAGCACTCCCTGGCGGAATTTAATCCCTTACTATCTCGGGAGTTCAAAGTATAGAAAACTCATGTAAGGGTTTCTGAATTAAGTAGTTGAGATACACTAAGGACTGGACACCTATGTGGAAACTGAACGCAATCCGCTAAGGCAATTAAAGGTGCTGAGTTTCCCGTCCATGTACAAAGTGTTCCTGTGTGTCTGGTATTCCCAGAACCGGGGTCTGGCTCGGCCACCTTTGGTTTCCCCCTAGTCATTTGCTCCCTGCTCCTCCCTGTGCCAGAGACAAGCTTGAGAGCTACTAAGAACACAATCGAGTGTCAACACGCAGTCTCTTAGTATCGGGGAACAAGCAGTGCGGGAAAAAGACCCGGCCAAAGAGGGGCCCAGACGAAAAACCCCAGGGAGGAGGCGGGAGAGGGTCCTCAGTCCCACGGCTTTCGGGTCTAGGAAGAGGCGGCGCCGTGGGCGCGGCCGCCCTACCTGCTCCGCGCAGGTGACGCCCGCGATGCCGCCGCCGACCACCACGAACTTCCCCTCGGTCGGAGGAGGGCGCGCTGCCTCCATGTTCCGGGGCTCCGGGCGGTCTACGGAACACTGTGGGAGAACGGCCGGACTTGGCCTTCCTGGAGTGGAAGCACCGCGGGGCTGTGACTTCCGGTGCTTGATCCGGGGAATCCGACCTACGGGTGCCCAGGAGCTCATACTGAGTCTGGTCGCGCATCCGCCCGAGGCCGCGTTTCAGAACCGCGGCGCGTTTTGTTTCCAGGGCTTGGCGTTTGTCACTACACCTGAGCGTAGTTTCCCCACAGAGATTTGATAAAGAGAAGGCAACAAACAAACAAAACGAAGTAAAAAAGATGAGTCGCCAGAAGACGTTGGACAAGTTGCTTGTCTAAAGGCCGCCAGTGTCCTGACGGGAGGAGCCTCGTATGATAAGTGAATGGCGCGGACGTCCTCCTGAAGCTTGCGAGAAGTTGGACTTCGGATTTGATATCAAATTTTAGTGGTAGAAGGAGCCTTCGGGCACGCTATGCTGGCCCACTCTTCCTTCATAGGAGGAAAACTGAAGCTTCTGAAAAGACTTGATGGTCACCCTTTATTGCCAATCCAAGATGTTTTCATTTGGGAAAGCGCGCTCGTTCTTCAGGACGCTCGAGGACAGACGGAATTGTTCTCTAAGAAGTTATTTCCATGTGCAGTTTTGACCTCAGCCGCAATTTTTAGTAATAGAATTGCTTACCATTTCCAAATTTCCAATAAATAGCAACATTGTGAGAACTGAAATTCCTAGTCTTAATTTTATTACACTATTAATATGTTTTTTTTTTTTGTGGTGTTCATTTGTTTTGAGGAAAGGTTAATTTTTAAAATATTTTACTGTATATTAATATTTATATTATTTATTAACTGTTACCTTTGCTATCTCATATATGAGGGGACTTCAAAAAGTTAATGAAATTAAAGGACAAGTTTATCTTGGTGTAAAATAAAATTTAAATTCATGCATAGTTTTTTTGTAAGATGTATCTATTTCATAGTAAGTTATTTTAGAGGATACATTTCCTAGAGAAATGGAGCTTTTCCTAGGAAGTTGAACTGTGATATTAATATACTAGTTCTCAAATGGCTCAGTCTAAAACTAATAATTACCAAGCCTTTTAATCCTTTAAAGTCTGAGAGTAACCACTCTATACAAACAAAAACCTGTCACATAATGTAAATACAGATGTTTGCTGATACCCTCTAATCATTGTGCTTTGATTTTTACTAAGTTAAATAATAAGCAGTTCAATAAGTGATTCCAATTTCTATTACTAGTTTTACAAACAAAGCATTTCTTGGTGGAAATAGTACTTTAAGCCCATTTAAATCTAATCTTGTTTACTTCAGTATATCTTCACATGATCTCACTCAGACTATACTATATTTAAGTTGAACAACACTGACAGCTTTCAGGCTATGGCATTTTCTTTCTTTCATTAGTATTTGCACATACAAGGAGTCTTCAGAAAAAGTCCATGACAAGTGCATATTATGGAAACACTATGCATGAATTTCAGTTTTTAAAATTTACACCAAGATAAACCCATACTTTAATTCCATTTTCCCACAAACTTTTTGAATTATCCTGGTATTTTTTTCCTCTAGCTAACTTGGTGAAAAGTTAGTTAAATTTGGAGAATAAGAAGTAAGGAGAAGGAAGATCTTACTTGACTGAGTCAATGGCATGGTCAATCTGTGAATTAGATAATCAATAATGATTATTAAAATTTCAGGAATTAGGAACCAGCAGATGGCATTATGGTTATGTCGCTGGACTCCCACGCTGTTGACTATAGTTCGAGTCCTGGGCCTGGTGGTTTAAAACTTATGCCAGCTATGTGCGCTTGCGTGCCCAAGATCCCAGGAGGAAAATGAAGGAAAAGGGATTGCGGTGTAGCCATCCCCCCTACCCCCGTCCCTGATTAATTTCTCCTTTTTTGTCTCTGTCTCTCTGGCACGCTCATGCACCCTGCACCCTATATAAAAACATCTCTCTTAAAAAACAACTTCGGGGGGTGTGTGAGGGGGAACAGCAGTTAGTGTAATGGCTATGTCTCTGGACTCCCATGTAGTCGACCGTGGTTTGAGTCCCAGACCCAGTGGCTTAAAACTCACACTGGGCGCTTGTTCACACATGCCCAAGATCCTGAGAGGAGAATGGAGGAGAAGGGATTGCGGTGTGGCCATTTCTCCTGGGAGGTGATTTCTTGCTTTTGGCTCTCTGTCTCTCGCTGTCTGGCGAGTGCACCTGCCCTATAGCAAAAACCTCTAAAAAAAAAAAAAAGACAACTCCAAGAATTGTATGAGCTGATTATTAACACAGCTGTTGGCTAACATCAAAATTATAAATTTATAATTAAGTAAGTTGCATTAAAAGAAAGGAAATTAATATTCATAACTCATTATTTCACTATTTTCAATACTCCTGAGGTTATTTACATCTGTTGTATATAGGGGTGAGATAATTATATAATGGTGCACTCCTGTGCATTTCTTCTCAGTGCTTATTCCGTAATGTCAAGTTGATATTTTGAAATTAGCCTTGATGATAATGTTGTATTTGCACCATGGAAAATGGCAAATGATACAGACCACTACTTCATTTATTGTTCTGTTGATTGCCTAGACTTAAAAAAGCAATGGAGAAAATATTAATAATTAAGTTACACTAATAATATGTTGTGGGGCCAGCAGATGGCGAAGTGGTTATATTGCTAGACTCTCAAATTGCCAACCATGTTCAATTCCCCAGCGCAGTGGCTTGAGAATCATGCCAGACATGTATGCATGTGTGCCCAAAATCCCAGGAGAACAGAAGAGAAGGGATTGCAACATGGTTATCCTCCCTGGGGGATGATTTTCACTTTTCTCTTACTATCTCTGTTTATCTCTATCTCTCCAGTGAACACATGCGACCTAAGGCAAACACCTCTAAAAAAAAAAAAAAAATGTTGTGTCAGGGCCAGCATGTGACTTGGTGTTGAACATTCACATGGCTGACCATGGTTTAAATCCCAGACCTGGTGGCTTGAGAATTCCACTGGGTATGTGTGTGGCTATTCCCTGGGGGTGAATTCTCACTTTCCCTCTCTTCTGTCTCTGGTGAGTGCACACACCCTATGGCAAAAAAAGAAAAAAGTGTCGTGTTATTAGAGTACATTATGAAAAGCCCCCCAAATTGAAAAAAAATAGGGCTTTTATTGTGTTGAGAAATGTCCCTTCTATGTCAATTTTGCTGAGAGTCTTAATAATGAAGAGGTGTTGTATCAAATGCTTTGATAGGTCCATATGGTTTTTATCTTTCTGTTAATATGGTGTATTACATTTATGGTTTTGTAAACCACCCTTGCATCTGGAATAAAGGCCTCCTGATTATAGTGTATAATCTTTTGTAAGTATTGTTGGATATAATTTGCTATTATCTTGTTGAGAATTTTTGCGTCCATATTCATCAGAGATATTGGTCTGTAGTTTCCCTTTTTTGCTATGTCCTTGTTTGTTTGGGGGGATCAGGGTGATAGAGGCTTCATAAAATGAATTTGTGAGGGTTCCTTTCTTTTGAATCATTAGAAATAGTTTGAGCAGAATGGGTTCTTGGAGTATAAGAAAACTACTATCCAGTTAAGCAAAGAGGAAACTGATAATAGGACCAGTAGTTGGTGTAATGGCTGATGGTGTAATGGACTCCCAGGTAGTCGACTGTGGTCTGAGTCCTGGACCTGGTGACTTAAAACTCATGCCGGGTTCCCATGCATGTGCACTCAAAATCCCAAGAGGAGAATGGAGGATAAGGGACTGTGGTGTGGCCATACCTCCTGGGAGTGATTTCTCACTTTTTGTCTCTCTGTCTCTCTGGTGAGTGCATGTGCCCTATAATAAAAATCTCTTAAAAAAAAAAAAGCAAAAACTGATATTATAGACAAGTAAAGCTCAAACCTACATTGTTTTATTGGTTTCACTTTCATCTCACTTGTTAACATAAATGGAATTATCTGCCTACATCCAAACTACACTCAATCATAAATTGCTATTGTAGTTTATTAAGAATTCTGTAAAAATCAAAAGTGTTTTGTGAGAATCAGTGGGCAAAATGGAATTTGCGATAGAGTATATGAATTATTTATTACAATGTTTACTGTATAACTTTCATATTCATATCAGCAAAATTTTTAATAAAGCTCAGAGGAGACTTCAAAAGTTTTTGACAAAATGGAACTAAAGTACTAGTTTTTTTTGGTGCAAAAAAAAAATTGAAATCCACGCATAATATTTTATAATACACACTTTCCATGAACTTTTGAAGACCTTGTCCCTTATAGATGTACACACACATGTGCACAAATATATACATAGAAGCATATATGTTCATGGATCTACATACATATGTAAATACAAACACAGACACACACACAGATTCTCAATTTACAATGACAGTTCATCCCGATATATCCATTGTAAATTGAAATGTAAGTGAAAGTGTGTTTAAGGGCCAGCTTCATTGTGCAATTTCATATTAAAGGGCTGCTCAAGAAAAGCTGGATCCCACATGGTAACCAAACTTCAATTCCTGGCCAATCAGCCTAAGACATGCCAGGCATACTCTAGAGTGCCCAGGATCTGACAGGCTGGAGGACTTGGAGAAAAGAGATATTAGCATTATAAGACCTTCTGAAGGATGCTTATCTCTCTCTTTTTCTCTCATATGTGTGTGCATGAGCTCTATCATGAACTGTAAGTTTTTTTTAGTAAATTTGCCAGTGAACACATGCACTCACCAGAGAGAGACATAGAGACAGAGAGGGAGAGGGAGAATGCACTTCCTATGGAGCAATCTACTCTTTATGTCTCCATCCTGTCAGGATTTGGGGCAAGCATGCGCATACGTCTAGAGTGTTCCTCAAGCCACCAGGTCTGGTGTTTGGACCATGACATGGTTGGTTGTGTGGGATCTGGCTCCCTTAATCACTAGGTCATGGGACCAGCCCTAAACATTATTTTAAATGCATTTAATACACCTAAACTTCCAAACATCATGGTTTACTTTATATACCTTAAGTATACTTTGAAGATACAGAAGATGGCCTAATGATTACATTGCTGGACTCCCACATAGTTGACCATGGTTCAAGTCCAGACCTGGTGGCTTAAAAAATTCATGCCAGGCAAGTGTGTGAGTGTGCCCAAAATCCCAAGAGGAGAATGGAGGACAAGGGATTGCGGTATGGCTAACCCCCATGGAGGGTGATTTCTTGCATTCTGTTACTCTGTCTCTCTAACAAGTACACATGCCCTAGGGCAAAAATCTCTCTAAAAAGAAAAAGAATTCTTTGAATACTTGCATTAATCTACAGCTGGGCAAATTAATGAACACAAAGCCTGTTTCATGATATAGTGTTGAATATCTCATATGACTTATCAAATACAGTACACCATACAGTATAGTGTTGGTTGCTTCCCCTCCTGATAAGCCTGGTTGACTTGGAGCTGGGGCTGCTATAGAGGATACCTTACAGCGGACCAGCAGTTAGCGCAATGGCTATGTTGCTGAACTCCCATGTAGTCGACTGATGTTCGAGTCCTGGACCCGGTGGCTTAAAACTTATGCTGGGCGCATGTGCATGCATGCCCAAGATCCCGAGAGGAAAATGGAGGATAAGTGATTGCAGCATGCCCATCCCCCCTGGGGGGTGATTTCTCACTTTCTGTCTCTCTGTCTCTCTTTGTCTTTCTGGTGA